GGACAACATATTGTAGCGAAATGCAAGTGACAGAAGGGGTTTTTGTGGGTGGGTGGGAGGGAGTTTGCATCACTAAGAAGGAAGAGTGAGATCAACAAATTCCTTTTCAAGTTTCAGAAGTAGCCATCAATATTAACAAATTGTGAAAATAATTTTACTTTGCATAAACACACTGTATTTGTGTTAGCTAAAATGAAGTCAACGTATTATCTTTGGGTTACGTAGCAGCTACAGGGTCTTTAGAAAAGCACACACATTTTATATATTTGTTCCTATTGGAATTGCTGTTTTACAAATCAGGAACTAAATGTAGAAAGTACTGTGTGTTCGTATCACATAAAAATGCAGTAAAATTTAGTATTTTTAAAAGACCTTAATAGAGGCTTAGTATCACATGGTTGGTAGATAAGCATTTGTCACAGTTGCTTCTAGCTAAATCACTAATCTGTGAGACCTAATTCTGAGAGATGACAAAAACTGGTGGGACTTAAAAGATTGTCACATGTACTTTTGCAAACTGTCCTTCCTCACTGACTAGGACACTACTAGGTCAGTTTTCCTATCAAGTTAGTGAGTAGACCATGGTTGAGTTCAGTTCTCTGTCCTACTAGTATCTTTTTGTGTTATCCTCAGCAGGTGTTTCTTTGCACCTGGAAGTGCATGGGACATGGAAAAGATACTAAAGATTATAAGGCACTAATACCCAGATTCATTCAAACTCATGTGGGCATTTAAATGGGGTAACTCACGTAAGACCTCCACTCTCTGGAGGTGTCGCTTTGTCCACCAACTTGGAGGAGAGAACAAAGTGCCACAGGATGAATCCCGACCCGAGACTGATGGCAGCAGGGACCGGTGTTGGACAGACTGACAATTTACATCTAGACAAGTCAGAACACTGACACAGAGCTCATCTTAAAGGACCTAAATACTCTCTGAGAGTATTTTTATTCAGGGATTAAGTGCGTTGTTTATCTTTGCAGATCTAAGATTTCTGTATATCTTTGCAATGTAGATTTGGGACATGCTGTGTGTACAGTGTGTCCAAATGTGTCTCAGAGAAAATCTGCATTGTTTTTGTTTTGCTACCTCAGGGTTGATAATATCTCTAGCTGCCGTAAATATTGAAGGGTGGGAATAGTTCATGTGGAAATATCTTCCACAAATCCTTGCCATAATAAGACTTTTTCTGTTTTCAATGTTTATTTTGTAGTAACTGTAGGAATGGCACAAAGGACAAATAATAAATGGACAAGTACTTTTAGTAATGTGATCTTTCTCTGTCACACTAACTCATATGTTCCTGTTGCTTTTGTCCACAAGCTTCTGCTTGTAGGAGCAACTCCTGTTTTCTTAATTGGAATTATCTGTCAGAAGTGAATATACTCAGCTAGGCTTCCTTGACTCTACTCCCAGGCTTTCCCATTTTTCCCCAGACACAAATCCATGTTCCACAGGGAAAAGGCAGACGTGTACATGACATTTCTTATTAATCTTTGCATTGTTCTTGTTGCTAAACAGTCAAAATATTTAATGTTTGAAATTAGCCACTTAGTGGCTGGAAGAGTGGCTGTAAAAATAAGTAGCTTTGTAGCACTTTCAGTTCTTCTGGAAAAAGTAACCATTTGAATAATTCACCTTTAAAACTGCTGTACACCTGGAAATGACAGCTTTGGGCTAAAATCTATGTTGCCCCAGAGTAAATGGGGAGTAAATCTATAGAAGACAGTGGATTAAGACAACTAGTATTGAGAGGAGAATCACCTACTTTACATTGTGCTTTTTATTGCCATTTTTAATAACAGCCTAGATTTAACAGACTATTCTAGGTAGGTCTAGCAAATGAAAAGTAGGTTGGAAAAAAGGAAGTGAATGGAATTCCAACAGTAACAAATACATAAATACAAGACTGGGAAAAAATGTGTACAATAGTGAAAAGCTATATATGAGCTGGCATATATTTTCCATGAAACCTCCCTTACATTTAGCCTCATTTGAAAGTGTGGTAGATTCTCTTTGTTAACTTGTCACTAGGTCTATAGTAGTTGCAGCCTTATATTTAGCAACAGACACAATTGTTCCTACGAGGTGGGAAGTCTCCACAGAAGTTGTGCCATATAGCTTTGAAAAACGAAGTCACAAGCAGTGGAGATACAAAGATTCCCTACCATGTACAGCAGAGTCACCAAACTGTGTGGAGAGAGAAAAGCAGTCACAAAGTCCATCCATAAGCATAACTGCTTAGTTAGTTTTGTAATTAGCTGGTGTGATTAAATTAGATCCATGGTGGGAATCCCTTGGGTAAAGCAAATTATATTGGAAAATACAGGCCATATTCTTCATCTGTTTTGCTTGGAGCTAAGAGCAATGTGGTACCAAACGAAAGAAAAGGGAGCTGCAGATTCTTCCGGTCTCTGTGTGCCCACAGGACTTCCTCTGACAAGGGAAAGGGAAGGTCATGGTCTACCAGTTTTCCCTTTCCCATTCTGGCTACGAGCACATCGTAGCCTCTTCCATGCCAGTTGTTTTTTTTCCTCTGAGTATCTGTGCTCCTGGGGCCCTCTGTTTAAAGTGAAGTTTGCTTGAACAGAGAAGTGTATAGGCTTTATTCTGTCTTGCTCCTCTGCGTGGCCTCATAATAATTACGGTAACACAGCCTTTAATGTTTTCTCCCCAGATGCTGATGAATGCCAACTCTTTGGACAAGAAATCTGTAAAAATGGCTTCTGTTTGAATACGCAGCCAGGTTACGAGTGCTACTGCAAACAAGGCACATACTATGACCCTGTTAAGCTCCAGTGCTTTGGTAAGTTTATTTAAAGTGGTCTTGTCACTATAATGGTATGCAGATGGGCAAAACAAGCAGACTCCCATCAGAACTGCGGTATTCCCAGCAAGGGGAGGAACACTGGGCCTCCAAACTCCTGTAGCAGCTTTTTTAAGAGGCACTGGGTCATTTCCCTTCCCTTCTGCTTGGCTGGGCAGCAATTCTGGCTGACATGGCGATGGCACGTAGAGCAGGGTTTGCTTTATTTGCTTCCTTTCTCAGCAAATTGCTCCCAGGAGTTTGCATCTCCAAAACAGCCCCTTATGCTCCTTCGAGTGCATATTCTAGAGCTGGTACCACCATTTATGCAGGCAGCATAAAGTGATCGGAGGTGGCTCCCTCCTTATATGCACACTGCTGCTTCACTCTGCCAAGGTACAGTTTAGCCTTCTGTGCTTTGTACATGGGGTGAGCAGTGAAAGCCCGTATGTTGAAGCTCACCTTTCATTTGGTAAGTGTGCTGGTTTTACTATAATTAATCAAATTAACGCAGATGGTTTTTTTTCAAGGACAGGTATTTTCCACAAGGAGTTAATATGCAATGTGAAATTACAGTTCAGGTCATTGATAAGCCCGTTTTAGTCTGCACAACCTTGTACTCCTTTGGTTCTGGTATTCAACTGAAAATTACTCGTAACTGTGACCCTGGCTTTTGCTCTGTAAGCAGAAAACCATGTGTAATGTGCAGAATAGCATAATGGAAGGAAGTAATTTTTGCAACCGCAATAAGAGGGCCTTTCACCGTGGGATTCTCTGGTTGTTCTTTACAAAGGGTGGGGTTTTTGCTGATTTTATGTAATTTATTTGAAGTAAAATGGCCTGCTCTTCCCCTTGAGCTAAATTTCTGCTCTTCCTCTCCAAGACAAACTAAGGAATAGAACTACTGTGGCTAGATAAGGTGATCCCTTCTCCTGACCAGCTCATGAAGAGTCTCAGAGTATGCCCACCTCTAATGCCTGCTGGTACTGTCCTAAAGGGATAGGAACGTGGGAAGCGGCTGCAGCTGTGCTGGATGCAGGGTATGCCTGGCACTCCAACCCCCCCAACAAGCCTCCTCATCCAGATGCTCCCTAGTACTTGAGGTTGAGAGGTCAGCATCCTGCTGATCTGTCTGTCCTTCTCCACGGGCACAGGCAGGATTTTGCTGCCAGCAATTGGTATTTGTGGTAATTAACAGAAGCCATGCAGGGAAATCTGCTCCTAATATAGGAAAATATAAACATGGATTAACACAATGCGACTACTTTGTGCTGGCTCTCCTTGATACATTTCCTTCCATTTTAAAGACACGGATGAATGTCAGGACCCAAACAGCTGTATTGATGGCCAGTGCATTAACACAGAAGGATCTTACAACTGTTTCTGTACACACCCAATGGTTCTGGACGCAACAGAAAAGCGATGCATCAGACCAGCAGATTCAAGTGGTATGATCCATTATACATATTACTGAAGTGAATACACCTCTACGAGGTGGTGCTGACATGGCTATAGACCCCAGTAAGCTTAGACTGGGTCATGCTTGGATGAGCCTGCTCTGTTGGAGGATTTTGGAAGGCAATGCTTGGACCGTCACCTGTTGATCCAGAAGGCATCGTGATGTAGGACTCCACAGGGCTCCACTTTGCCAATGCAGACAGGAGATTGCTGGAATTATTAATGAGATTAGGCTTGGGCTGGGGAGTCTTCAGTCCCCTGATTCACCAGCTCTTTGTCTGCCTCGTCCAGCCTCATAGGTAACGAGGCACAGCTTGCCTGCTGTCTCACTAAGGCTGGGGTTTGGCTGTGGGCTAACTCTGGAGATTCAGTTCAGAGTGAGTGACTGCTTCTAACAAAGCAAGGAATAAAACCAGGAATAACAGGATATAGGAGGAAATAGCTGAAATTGTATCTGTGCTTTCAATTGATTAATATTGAGGGTACATCGAGCTCACATTTTCAAGCTGTGGGCTGCAGCCCCACTGTTAAAGTAACGTTTTTGCATGTTCGTTTAATTTCAGTAGACACTGAATTCAGAAAAAATGTTAGATATTATGAGATTGTTAGAAACGCCTCAGAAATCCGGGGCATTATGCAGTCTGCACAGCTTTGTCTATGCCACACACATCTTTGAAAGAAATGTTACAATGGATTTGATTAATATTGGCACTGTATAGCCATAAATCCAGACCTCTGGTCCCTGCAACTTGCAATGAATTTTCCTAAGATGCTTCTGTGAAAGGAAATGGGAATACAGACTGAGTGCTTGCTTTAGTCACTCCAAATTATAAGACTGATACTTTTGAGGAGTAACGTGGTCATCCTCTTGCCTGAAACTGTGAAAGAACCACAGCACTTCTATTGTTCAATCTTCAGTTAAGCAAACCAAGAGCAGGATTGTCCTTTGGGTTCATCTAGGACGTGAAGAGAATGCAAGGGCCCAAAGGGTCTTCCATCGTGCGACATTGGGGCTGATACAGCAATGATCTTCTCACCCAGCACAAAGTGCTCAAGCCTTGTAACACTACTGGCAATGTCCTCCCTAATGCAGAGGAGGAGGGGGCAGGCTGGTTCTTTTGCTGCCAGCAGAATTTGGAGTTGGTTGCGGAGACCCACTGCTGCTCTTCACCGCGTGTTCCAGCAAGTTCTTAGTAGAATAGGTATATAAATTCTGATCACCTTTGCTCTTTCAGAACTCACCGTTTTACTCTTGAGCTAGGTTTCAATTCTATACTCACCCATGCACCAGAGCATCATGTAAAAATGCAGTTAATAGACATGCACAGACAAAACAGAACCTCGGTTTGACAACACTCATTTTTCACTCTATGTTGGAACAAAATCAAAACCTTGCCAATGTCTTTACAAAACAATCGTGCTGAGGTTTTTACATTCCAGGTGGAAGATTAAGTTTACAGTTCCTCTCCCTCTGATCGGCAGTGATCAGAGATTGCTAGGACTAGGAATCGTTCCTCCTGAGATCTTTGTCAGAACTAGTACGCCTCTGAAATATTCCAGCTTTGACAAAAATACATGTTTTTGTTAATGTTCATAAGAATGTGACAGTAGTTCACAGCAGTATTCTGTCTCTAACGATAGCTGTAAGTGGATGATTAGGGACTAGAAGAGCAGATAAACAGTACTTCTCACCCTCCCCAGCACACTCGCAGCCTCCAGCTATTTTCAGCTCAGGGGATTTCCTGAGCCTGATGTAGTTTGTCTGTGTAGTTAATGGGATTCTCTTCCAAGTATTTGTCCAGTCTCCCGTTGAGCCCATGTAAAATTTTTGTTCAGCTCTGTCCTAGCTGTAAAAGTTCTTTCAGACGCCATTGATGGCAATATGAGAAAAGCAAAGTAACAACTGTTAAAGATTCATTCCGTGGATGGAGTTCCCCAAATATTCACCCCTGTCCTAACACTGGTTTTTGTCAAGCTCTGTTAACTTCCATGAGAGCAGAGCTGAGTCAGTGTTAAGCGTTCAGCAATGACTACTGATTTAGGAAGTTTTATTTCTTGGGTGTCCAACCCAATGTGCTTTTAAATTGGCCTAATGGCACCAAATCAGAACCTTTTAAGATTTTTGCGAAGCTGAACGCTCAAGGGATGAGCCACCTCAGGCACTTAAAAATGGTCATGACTTCTAAGCTGAAATTTGTATTCAGTGAAGTCTGTAAAGCTAGGTTATTTTTCCAATCTAAGTTTAGAAAATTCTGCATTATGCAAGTATCTTTATTTAAAAAACTGTGCTGCAATGATGATCTAATACGGTCTTCTCCATCAGAACAAACTGAAGAAACTGAGGTCTACCAGGATCTTTGCTGGCAGCATCTAAGTGATGATTTTGTTTGTAGCCGACCTCTGGTTGGAAAGCAGACGACGTATACTGAGTGCTGTTGCCTATATGGTGAAGCCTGGGGCATGCAGTGCGCACTGTGTCCTATGAAAGAGTCAGGTAAGGAAACGTACATGTCAGTTCTTGGAATGAAATCTGAAATACTTAATCAGTTTAATCCCTTGTATTTCTACTAGGGCTACTAACATAAGAAAGAACAAAAAAACCTAACCCTTCAAGAACTAATGGAAATTTTTCTCTTTAATTAAGGGGAAATCATTACAGTCTAGATTTTGAAAATGTAGCTGCTTTTATTTTTTTGCACTTACAGGACCTGTTTCCTTCAGGTGGAACTATCAGTGACTGGCAATTTAGAACCTTGGTGGAAACAGGAGGGCATTTTAAGGGTAGCATTGTTCCTTAACATGACTGACAAATTAAAAACCATCTATGAAAATACAGATGCAGTTCATGTGCACACACACGCATGGTACTCAATGGGCTACATAACTTTTGGATTTTTGTTGCTGTTGTTATACATTCAGATGCGTTTTTCAGTGTGATATTCTGCCAGGCTGGCTGCAATTAGATGTGTTTGCTTGATAAGGATCTGGTAAGTTGTGGTTTAGAATCACTAAACCTATCAAAGCATGAGTTGTTGCATGTTATATTAGTTATAGTATGGCTATATGCTCAGATATTATGAAATGTATAGGTGAGCAATTTAAGATAGATAAGGATAGGTAAGAGAAATGGAGTACCAATAAGGACTGAAGATTTTCCAGGGAGTATAACTTAATGTTAAAGAAAGCTGACTGACAGTCATACTTTTAAAAGACTGTATTTTGTTTACGTGTTTAGAAATTAGACGTTGTTCCAAGATATTTCAGGTAGAAGCTTCTTCTTGTGGTGACTACAAAAGCTAAATGGATATAGAGAGAAATGTTGTCGTTGGCACACAGACTTACTTCTAGGGACTGGCGAAGAGACCAGTGGAAGCAGCACAGGTGTGTGTCATGCTGTGCCTAGGACATGTCAGCCCTGGTATACACAGTCTGGTACCATACTAACTTCTTCCCCGATATAAACTATCCCAAGGCCTAGTTTGGATGTAGCCTTCTTACTACAAATGTGTCTTTCAGTAGTATGGTTTTCCATGTAGGAATACCATGCTACACTAGTAAAGCATTTTATTCTGATCATACCTGGATTTTTACTTGGGCTTGTGTTACTCTAACCATAATGTTGTGGCTAAAGCAGTACATGTTTTACTTGTAGCAAGAACCCTGGAGTTAAAACTACATAGAGAAGCTCAGTGAAGCATTAGTGTGGTTGTTTGTGTCTGCTTGGGTTTTATGTTTTTATAATTTACTTGCAAGGTCCCTGAACCTGTTCTTATAGATCTTTACTTGTTTGAGTTTGCTTTGGAAGTGCAGCAACTGAAAAAAGCGCCTGATTTTGATGATGTTGGCTGGAGTAAGTGCTGGCTGATGCTTGCCCCAGAAAGAGACTGAAGAAGAAAAACAGGGCATGACAGCAGCTTGATTTATAAGATATGGAAATCTCTGAAACGTCTTTGTCAGAACAAATCTTACAGGAGGACATTCCCAGGCATCAAATTACTACACCTGCTAGAATAACAATTGCAATGGAATGAAATGTAATAGTAAAAAAAACAAAACAAAACAGGGCAATAGCTAATAGCAAGAATTGTTGCTATGACCTGGAGCTCCTCAGGTGGAAAGATAGAGCAGAATAAAATTTTTCTTTGTATAAAGTTCATCACATGGTGACAGTGACCCATCTGTGTAATGCAAGCACGCAATCCTGAGAGAAGGAAGGAAAGCTGTTCCCAGTAGAGAGAGTTCAGGTAGGTACAAGACTTGCTTCTGAGGATTTCTAGCTAGTTACATTTAAAGCAGGATAAATCTGAAAAGGAACAGAGAAGGATTACCAAGATGGTCAGGGAATGGAGAACCTGTCTTACAAGGGAAGATAAAAAAGCCAAACCTAGATGCAGAGCGAAGGCTACAAATGGTAAGACTCTCCGCTACATATCCTATCATGGAGGATTCCCACAAGCTTTTAAGTTAAATAACAGTGCTGATGTGAGGAAAAAAACTGGAACAGGTTCAGTCTGAACATATTCAGGCTTGAAATTAGATGGATTTTGATCATTAGGACCACAGGATTCTGGAGCAGCAATCCTGCGACAACAGTGGCGTGCAGATCCCAACTAGCTCTATGAAGAAACCTGAGAAATTAATTAAAAAAATGACATAAATGTTCCTGATGGATAACACGATGTTAAATGTCACTTGGATGACCCTCAGTCAAAGCTGAAGAGCATTATGTTGGATCATAAAATCTTTCTTCCTCCAGACATAAGATAATTTTTATGTGAAGTTTAACATGCCTTGCAAACTTTAACTGAAGCTACGAGGCATACTTTGATCCCAAATACATCATTATAGATTGGAACATAGATGGTTAAAAAAATGAAAGCATATTGAATCTTTATTATGTCAGAACAAACATACAAGCTTACGTTTCTTAGTGGAGCTGGTATATGCTCACGTGTCCTCGCACACATGTGCACGCGCACACACAGAAACCTGGAAGCCTTTCTCTGTTTTCAGGAACATTTACAGAGAAAAATTTAAAGCTGACTGAACTGAATAAATGATTCATTTGACATGTCTTCAGTTTGTAGTATTTAAAGTGATATCATTGGCTCGAGAGAGTGCTTTCACACCTCTGGGCCAGCAGGTCACAGGTTCAAGTCCTGGCTGGGGAACCTGGAATTTCTCCGGTTTTAAATACTTGTGTATTGTGTTGGCCAGATTTACTACTGAAGGTGTTTGCTTATTTCCCAAGTTAGGGGCATTCTGAAGATTTGTAACACATGTTATAGAAGATCTGGGGATGTGAAAAGCATTATCACCAGAAGACTTTCACCATGAAATGGGTTGGATCATAGAACGGATCATTCACTTATCTGTGGTTTTCTTTTACCTTGTTTATACTCCTCTTGAATTTGAGAATCTAGATGCTGCACTTAGAAAGAAGGAAATACAGACCACCATAAGTGATACATTTGCAAGTCCCTTCTAGAACAAATTCACGCTTTAATAAAAATAACCTCTAACTTTTGTGTCCCAGCTTTTCTTGAAAGCACTTCCGTTTTTCATGACAAGATTTAAATGTCCTGTTTAAGTAGCATCCAGCATAAAACCAGCAGGAAGATAGAGAACTGTTATAAGAATTGATCCATATAAATGAAAAAGAAATTGAGCCCTTCATCAGCATGAAACCAGAATTTAAGTAGTTGCTAGGATTTCTAAAAACTACTAAGGGGTGCTTGATCAAACAAACCCCACTGAAAATGACACTAAACATCAGACCCTGAGACAAAAATAAGTAGCACCTGTTGAAGTATTGCAACTGAACAGTGACATCTTAACAACAGTAAGACTGATAAGTATTTTGATGACAACATCAAGGAACAAACTTAAAACACTTAGTTCAAAATCCCGATCAAAATAGCGCAAACATGAACTGTAGTGATGTGATTGAGTACATCTTACTTGTACAAACAATTTTGTGGGGCATGCCTCCTTGTCATTAAACAAAGGAAGCAAAGACAGATTGCTTTCAATTACATTGGTTCTAATGTTATGATCTTATGATATCATCATAGTACAGATAAAGGCTTTCACAGATTGCATCCAATACCAAAATGTTAACTCCGGAAATGTATTCTCTCTGGGCTCGTTGTGGTGTTAGGCTGTACTTGCCCAAAGAACTTTTAGTAATTATCCTTAAGAAACCTCTGTGTTATTTGAGGTTTGTCATTTGCAATCTGCAATAATTGACCAATTGAGGAAAACTGGATACTTTTGTTTTAGATAACAAAAGCAAAACATCCTTTCTTCATTGCACCCACCCCCAAAAAAAAACCCTGTCAGACAACGTGCCTTCAGAAGTTCTGCTTCCTTGGTCAATTTACTGTTAGTGCCCTAAGACCCAACTGTTTCCATCCGGAGTCCACGCTCTAGTAACTGGCAGCAGGACAGGCACCAATGGGTTTAGCACCTGGCTCAAAGCATCCATGCCAGAAAACAGAGCAACTGGCCAAGACTGAAAAAATCTGGAGTCTAAAATAAGGCCATACACATCTCATGTCAACCTGAACGTGTAACACCTGAATTATAAACCTGCTGAGCCTCCAGAAGCTCCTGCGAGACCCTTATGGGACTGGAGTGGATTTTACACAAGGTGTATTGTTACAGGGTACAGGAAATTTGAAGGGAGGAGATAGAAGTAACAGCTAGAAAATGTTGAGTAAGGTAGTGTGCTGGGGTCAGTGTTTAATTTAGGGAGACTGCCTATTTTTGTGTTTGTAAAATGATCTTCAGAAACCTGTCCTGGAGTTTGTTATTGCAGTGCAGTACCACCTTTGTTTCAGTAACACCTTAGGATGCTAGGAAGGTGGAATTAGGTGCCCTTGAACTAAAGATATGCCAGTCTGTTAAGGAAGGTGCTTTCTCCTTCTCCTTCTGTAGGTGGCTGCCTGGAGAAGTTTTTATTTGGAAAAAGGGGGTATGGTAGGACTGAGACTCTGCGGTTTTAACAGATGTTTTAATAACTATTTATTGGGGGAGGGGGGATGTACATTACTACATCTACAGCTAAGAACTTGTTGGTAGTCTGACTACTAAGATAATGTCATGAACACATTCTTAGGCAACTGTAAAAGACATCAGCATTCAGTTTATCAGCCTGCTTATTTGTGTAACCTTATACATACCTTGTACTCTTTTACTGTAAGTCTTAAACTCTGGTAGTTTGTGGGTTTTTATGGAACCACTTTAAGTTCAGAAGATCTGCAGAAAGGACAATGGTAGAATTCCAGTCCGTAGATGTTACAGATGTTCTGTGGGACTAGGAGTCACATAAAGAACTGCTGAAGACTCATGTTGTACTTGAAGTTTCTCTTTATCTCCACCTTAGCATTTGCAAAGCCCAAACTAGGAGAACACTGAGGGTAGTGGGTAACGTGAATCATCTGGGGTGTTGTATCATGTAGGATTTCTCTTGGCCAATTTCACATGTTTTTT